TTGTACAATGTTAGTGGCGAATTAGTAAGAGAACTTAAACATGATCCACAAAATATTGCAGGGGCATTTCACAAGCTTGCTCCATTTTTTAAGTTATATTCTGTTTATGCTTATGATTATGAGCAAATTCTATCACTACTGCAGGTATGTAATGTTATACTCGGTTATTAATTAAAACTTAGTATTATAAGAAAAAATGTCTCAGATGAAGCAGGAGAACGATCTAGCGTTTAAAGATTTTGTTACTAAACAAGAAACAAGACCAGAAGTTAGTAAAAAGTTACCTTCATTACTAATTACACCAATACAAAGGGTACCTAGGTATAAATTACTTTTACAAGAAGTCTTGCAACACACACCTACTAAACATAAAGAATATAATCTTTTACAAGGTAAAACAAATGGAATTAGTTTATAGCAATAAAGTGATCTAATTTTACATAGACTCAATTATTGTTTTTCTAGTGTGTTTAGTAGAAATTGAAAAAGCTGCAAGGCATATAAACACCTTAATTGAGGAACATGAAGAGACCCAAAAATTACTGAAGTTCCAAAAATGTATTGTAAATCCTATTAATTTAATAAAACCTGGCAGAAAGTTAATTAAACAAGGAGCATTGATGAGAGTCTCTAGGAAAGGAAGTTCTGCATATAGAAGATATTTTGTTCTTCTGAATGATACTTTACTGTACTGTAAAGGAGATCCCGAAAACTCGTTGACTGTATGCTGTGCTTTACCATTGAATAAATGTAACGTTGAACCCGTTTTGAGTGGCGGATTGTTTCGCGTTACTTGCTTAAATGAAACTCTCTTACTATATTCTGAAAAGGATGACAGTAATCTATGGATGGAAGCAATACAAAGTTCTATAAGAAAGGTAACGAAAAGAAGATAATACTCTCTTTGCTTAAATGTTCCATTTGACAAGTAATTAGATTCTTTTTTAGTACGCAGAGTGTAGGCAAACATTAAGAAAGGATAGCAGCTCGAGAAAGCCGTTGAGGCATAATAATCTTAATTTATTCCCATCTGAAACTATACCTGTGGCAACAGGTAAACGGAAAAGATCAAATGAAGAAACTGAGGTTTATAAGACAATTCTGTAAATATTAATATTTTTAAATCTACTGAGAATTCTAAAATGGATATTTGAATTTATAGATCAATCTGGATGTATCAAGAATTATGTATCTTAAGAAGGACAATGAAGCAGATGCAGATGTGCAATCTGAAAATAATTGTTTATACTTTATACCAAAATTTAAAAGATTTAAGAAAGACAACAGTCGCCTTAAATGCTATAACCAGCACATCAATTACGTAAGTTTAAATATTGAGGTCTGCAAATGTAAAGACCAAGTCACTGATTATCGTATGGTTTGTAGAAAATGGAAGAAAAAGAAAATATGCACTTCGCAGAACGAAATAAACCATGTTCGTCATCTATTCGTTCTGGAAGTGTTGAACAAGGATCATCAAGGTTCAAATCTATCAGTGAATTTTTTGTATCCCTCAGTTCGTCGTTGAAAGGTTTCTTCAGGTTTAGATGACTGTTTTTATGAATGAATGAAATCAATAATAAAAATGACGAAATACATAATTTCTTGTATAAAATAAAACTAATAAATTTGAATATCTGTTCATAGTAATTTATACATATACGCATTCAAAAATGTTCCATATTGGGCGAATAGCAACTATTGTGACGAAGGAAGGGGGAGATTACACAGAAGTAGATGTCCCTCGTCACTATAGATATTTTGTATTATCAGAGGAGATCTCGCATAATATAATACTGTTAGTATAGAAATAAATGCGTACTTCTGTATGAAAATACATTTAACAAAGGCTAACAATATTGAAATATGTATTAGTACTTTAAATAACAAATAAAAATTTAGACTCTTCTAAACTAA